ACACAGAGCGAAGAGGACAAGCAAAGAGCCCAAAATGAGAGCGATTTGCTGCTCCCTTGCCTTTATAGCCGCTGTGACTTCATTTCATCTTTGACCAGTTTTCAGTACACGTTTTCAGTATAATTAAACCTATAAATTTCCCTCACTGTCTCATTTGAAACACTGGTGAACAAATATTAGTCTGGGCACAATATAGAAACATGCACACGCAGTAAATGCATATGGAGGTTGCTAGCGGCGCCAAAGCCAACAGTCGTTACCAGAAATGCAGTTTGTCGTTGATGGAAATAGTCTAGCATGATAAGTTCGCTATACACACGTACAATTATTGCATAAGGTATTTCGCCAGCTTACACGTTAACCGGCTACTGACCACATTGAATACCACGACACAACCGCTGCACAAATGAAAAGAATTCTATATGGAAAACACAGCTCACAGGGTTGCACCAAGCACCAGGTTCAGTAGCTCAGGTAGTGAAACCATAGACTACCCGTTGAGTGTATGGCAAGGCCCCCCCCCCCCTCACGCCTTTCTTTAGTATTCTGCAAAGCCCTCAATCCAACGTTAAGTATGGTAGGACCCCCACCCCCTCCTTTGTTGAGTATATTACAAGGCCCTCATGCTCCCTTAAGCTTATGGCAACACCCGCACGTCCCCTCCTTTCGCCCCAACATAACAAAATGGGATTACAAAGAGGACCACAGCAGATTCCGCAACGGGGAAATAGAAGAGATGCAGACACGTTTTGGTCAGATTGTGTTCTTGACAAATTGTTCGTGACAAAAATACGTCCTTCGCTTTTTGTTTTATATGTATATACATTTAAAAATTTGGAAAAAATTCACTAGATTTGAAAGCTGCTTGACGCCATCTTGAAATCTCCTAACGTTTCCCCCCCCCCACCCCACCCACCACCCCTCACCCCCAGGGGCGAGCCCTCTAGGCTGGAGACCACTGACCTAGACAGACCAATGCCTTCTCCAGATATCTCGAAAAAGTCTTATGCAGACTGCCTTGCTCCCCCGCCCCACTTCCCACGCAACGAACTGACTTATGACAAGGCGGATATGATAAAGTTCCGTTGAAAGCAGGTGTACAACAGTTCTCCCAATTTTTTTTTTAAATATGCCACTATTATTGCTCTAAAAAATAATTCTCTAAAGGGAAAACCTTATTTTGGCTAGGAGAGCAGAGAAAAAAAAAATGTCATTTGCCGTATCGTTCACTTATTAAATGCGTTAGTAAAAAGTAAAGATCCCTTTTCACCCCTTAGGCGCATCGGGCATATGGTAAGAGCACCCATATCTTTACAGACCAATCTGCACTTGGTAAGTAATGTGGTCACCATTACGCCGGCCGTCTCTCCTTTGCCAGGACATACATCCTGGTACCCATTTTAAGGCTGGGCCGACCTGCGACTCCCCATACACCGCATTGAATGCGTAGACTAGTACTAAATATCTGAACTTCCCATTAGAGATTTACGACATGCTTATTCTTGAAATGATTTATACGAGCTAATGGGTGGCTCATGACCTCCGCATTTTCCAGCTATTAAGAAAGGTTGCGGACTAGCTTGGTCTTTAACAAGATACGCCTGGCCAATTTCTAGTAATTTCCCCTGGTCTCTGAGTAGTGAGATCGGACTCATGTGTGTATTGTTGCGCACGAAAAAAAAAAATTAATCTCCTGGCAGTTGGAAATAAAAAAGTGAGGTAGAATCCATCGTATTATCTGCCAATTTCACACAGGATATACTCGTGGAGAAGTCACGTAACCTAGACGGGGCGGCATTGGAATGCAAGACTTCACTATCAGAGCTGGATGTTAAAGAAACACTATAAAGCTTCAGGTAAGTAAATCAAAAGTAAAGGACCCTTTTCCTAGCCTTTAGGCTATACGGCATATAGGGCTAGACCCTCACAGGAGGGTGATGTGGTCAACATCACGCCGGCCGCCTTTACTTTCCCGGAACTGCACCCGGTACCCACTCAAGGCTGGGTCGACCTGGGACCCAAGGTCATTTTTTAAAAAATAGTCCGGCTCCGTCAGAGAGCGAACCCACGACCTTTCGATCCGCCGCCAGCGTCATTTTTGAAAAAAGTCCGGCTCTGCCAGGGAACGAACCCACGGCGACTCCCCCAAAGATTCAGGTGCTCTGATAAAATGACTGGTAAATTCCGTTATTTAAAAGTTTTAAAAAATATGTTTATTATTAATTCAAATATAGGATTCTTGGAACCAGAATAGGTGCACAGGAAAGCTTTCCAGTCGTCGCTTTGTTGAATTGTGTGTTGTGACTGTTCAGGTCAATCAATGCATTAGCGTATTTGCAAGGCTTTATTTGTAACGACTGCGTCATTTGTAATGACGCCACCAGTGTTTCAGGTAATTAACCAGTCAAATCAACGAAGAAATCACGGGTGACTCCACAATAGTAACTGGCTCAATAGTTCTCTGACACAGCTCGTCTACCGTTGTATTTGTATTTTCTGCTTAGATCTCCCTATATCCAAGTTTATGTCCACAAGTGAAGGTAAATTTGAAGCCAGCCTGATGGTAAAAAAATGTATATTGTTATTATTATCAAAATTTTATTAATAATGCATGTAGTAGTGACAGTAACTTGCTGCGTGGAAGAACCCTAGCAGAGATGGAGTTTCTATTGCGATCATCAGGAGTGGGAAAGACATTCTAGCCCCATTCATTCTTCGGTTAATAACACTCTGTTGGCGTGAGGGGCAAGTTCAACAAGACTTCAAAGATTCAAGTATCATAACTATGAACAAAAGAACAAGGGCTATCTGAGTGACTGCAGCAACTTAGGGAGAAGATCACTGTTGTGTACTGTTGGAAAGGTAATTGTGAGAATTGTTCTGCGTAGACTCCAGATCCTAGGAGACCAGGTTTACCCAGTCCCAGTGTGGCTTTTATTGGAACCGGTCTGCCACTGATATGATATTTTCATTACGATAGTTGCAGGAGGAATGCCGTGAACAAAATCATCGGACTGCGTTTATTGACCTTACCAAGGCTTTTGATTTGGTTAGTCATAAAGGTATGTTCAACACGCTGAAGAAGACTGGGTGTCCGTGTATCCTACTGGGCAATATTGAGTCGTTCCACACAGGTAGGAAAGGTACAATCAACTTTAAGGGTGTAACATCGGAGGAGTTTACCATCAACAATGGAATCAAGCAGGAATGTGCGCTTGCTCCTACACTCGTTGGAAAATACTTCTCACTTCTTTTGAAACATGTTATTTGAGATCAGGAGGGTGGCATATTCATCCATTCTCAATGCGACGGCAGCCCTTACAATGCATGTAGGCTGAAGACTGAAACTAGGATGAGGAATGTTCTTATCAGAAGGCTGCTGTTTGCACATGATGCCCCCGCCCCCCCCCCCCACCCAGAGGAGGAGCTGCAATGTTTACTATCTGCATTTGCTGATGCATGTTGTGAATCTGGACTAACAGTCAGCAAATAGAAGACGAAGAAAATAGTACAAGGTGTTAATGTTAGACCTACAGTCTACATTGGTAATGAAGAGCTGGAGACTACTGACCATTTTATTGATCTGGGTTCCACAGTAAATAACAAACTATCGCTGGACTAGGAAATCAACATCAGGCAGCAATAACAGTGAGCAGATTGACAAAGAGAGTTTAGGAGAACAAAAAGCTTACGATTAAAACACGATTAAAACTAAAAATCTCGTCTATCAGGCCTGTGTTCTCAGCACTCTGCTTTATAGAAAAGAAACTTTGCCAACTTATTTGCACCATGAGAAATGGCTCGATAGCTTTTACATGTGATGCCTAAGAAGCATACTTAGCATTAAGTGGCAGGACAAGATCACAAACATTCAGGTATTGGAAAGAGCAGGTATTACAAGTCTTCTCAATGCTCAGGTGGCTGCGTGGTCTCAAGTCATGGTGTCTGCCTCGAATGCTAGAGGTTACAGGTTCAATCTAGGTAAGAGCTGGGATTTTTTCACTTAGAATTTGATTTTTTTGTAATTTTCCCTGGTCTCTGGGTAGTTAGGTCTGAGCCCGTGTGCATTGTTGCGCGTGTAAAAAAAAAAAAAAATCCCTTGGCAAGTGGGACATTAATGATACAGTTATTGAGGTGGACGAGTTGGAACGACGTGCCATGAACTGTGTTGCCTGAAGGGGACACATTTGGAAGGGAATAAGAATAAAGGAAGAAATGACTGCAGAAAGGATGACAGCTGAGCGTCTGAGAAGAAACACACAACACACGTATGGTGGCAATAAGTGTCCTGCAATTCTATGCTATAACTTTGGAATGCGTTTCTTAATTCAGGAGGATTTTCGCTAGTCACACTCGCTATCGCCATGGGCTGTGAGTCTAGTGCCTTTTCATAGCACAATATAACAATATCGTCTGGAAAAACTGAAAGGTGCCAGCAAGTATTGGTAGTATGAGTTTCATTTGTAAGAGTAGTGGTAATAGTAACAGCCATAACAGCAGTTGTGGTGGTGGTAGTAGCAGTAGTTAAATGAGGAGGAAGTGAAGTAGGAGAAAGGAGGAGGAAGAAGAAGAAGAAGAAGAAGAAGAAGAAGAAGAAGAAGAGGAAGAAGACGAAGACAAAGAAGAAGAGGAAGAAGAAGAAGAAGAAGAAGAAGAAGAAGAAGAAGAAGAAAAAGAACAAGAACAAGAACAAAAAGAAGAATAAGAAGCAGAAAAAGAAGAAGAGAAGAATACAAGAACAAAATATAAATACAAACAATATTAATAAGAACAAATGCAATATCTTTCATGGCTAGCAGAAACTTATTATGGAATATTCTACAAAGCGTTTACTGATTAGAACTTTAATGTTATGTTACATTTTCTTATTCTCTACAAAACAATATGTTACCATGACCAGTCCAGGAAGATCTGACCAGAAGGAGACATTAGGTATCCTTTCCCTGCCTTCGGCTTTCCTCAAAACGATCTGGAATATTGTCCCGAATAGAAAATACGCAATGATCCCAGTGAAAAATCTGAAAAAAGAAATAGAAAAAAAAAAAAAATTGTCTGTAATGAAAAATGCAGTAACCTATATGTCTGTTATCAATGAGGGCAGTTGTCTGGCTCACAGCCTCACCACCTGTCATTTTCAACAAATCCTCAAACAGCTAAGGAAATTATTCACCACTATGACGTGTCAACCCAGGAGTCATACTCGCAGGACACAGGAAACAGTTCAAATGTTTGTCTATGCGCGCGCGTAAAATAAGCATTTTTAATTATAAATTGCAAGGCAACATCCTCATATATTAGGCCAGTAAGGCTAAACACGCCTGTGTGTCACCGGGGCCCTCACGGGAAGCAAAGAATAGTGACACTGTACCCAACCAGGCATTTCGTAAGAGGCGACTAAGGGTAGGGTTGGGCATGAGGTTGGCTACCTCATCCTGTAAAAACCATAGCCACAAAAACCAACCAACCATGGATAAGTCAAAAAGAGAAGCAAGTAAAATCCAGCCAACCAAAATGAGGGGAGGCTCTTCAAGCTGAAGAATGAAGTTAGAAAGATGGGGAGGACATGGAGAGAGCTTCATACAATGGTGAAGAATAGAAAGACTTGCGTGAGTTGGTTGAGGGCCTATGCTCCATTGGGGGATAGAAAGGCAGAAGAAGAAGAAGAAGAAGGCTAAACAGGTTTACGGAAATTCGCGTTTTTGTTAGGCCAGTCCACGGCTGGTCTGTGCTCACCATTGTTGTCGAGTAAATTTATACACAAATTAAACTACATTTTTATTAAATTGCAAACATATTTTATTGAATGAATTATCATTATAAAGATAAATAAGCGCGCCATTAGAAAATAAAACAACAATAATAAAATATCTTACAGGTTAATCAAACTGTAGTTTAATCTGTGTATAAATTTACTTGTGCCATGACATGGATCCATCGACTAAACTAAACTAAACATGGCTCAAGTCCATTGAAGCGCCATGCCTCATAGAAATTTATACGGCAGCTTTGTCCCACAATAATTTCATTGTGGTGGGTCCGCTGATTCTTCGATTTTCTGAGCCCAGTGACTGACTGTACACCAGTCGACTGCAAGACTTGTATACACATCATTTAAAGGCTTGTGAATGTTCACAACGGTTTTCTTTTCTACAACGAGACGTTCTATCGCAATTTGGTGCTTATAACGGAAGTTGCTATCATGCTCCATTTCAAAGAATTGGGAGAGCCGTATTATTTTATTGTAGCGCTGAACTCTCTGACTGCCTTGAAATGGCCCGGAAAGCTACTACAGTGAGATACTGAGACAATGCAGCTAACATGTGATGGACTTACATGATAACCAGCACGGTCCCCGGACTGACAGTCACTGTGACCCTCACACCTGGAGGACTGTAGTTCGGACAGCAGTGGTTTGACGTGAAAATAAAGTTCTGGTAAATATGAAGAGAAGAACAATAACTGGCGTATCTTAAGGATTCATAATAAATGACCACTCATAAAAGAAAGCCATTATTTATATATTGTAACGCATTTATTCCTCCTTCTCGTTTCCAATTTCAACTTTTGCTGTTTAGCGACTTGGAGAGGAACAGTTTACAATCCAAAGATTGATGGTTTGCAATAGCTTTTGTCATTCCATGTCTATGCAGAAAGCTTATAATGTCATCACTCCATATATTCCGAAGGCGATATCTGGCTTTCCCATTAGATCTTTCTATGAGCAGCGCCTGCGTTGGCAGTTTTTGGGGCTGAATTCTAACGAGATGACCAAACCATTTGAACTTTTTTTTCTTATTGAATTTCGTGCATGATGATGTTCTCAATCTGTCTAATAGCATCATTTCTCATTCTGTCTTCCTCAGTCATCTTATTTCACACGTCCTAATTTTACGTATGTTAGTAGTTATTGCAGATACCTCAATAACACATTCATAGACATACACCATATTATTTACACATTGTAATTTATTTAATTACAGGTCGTAAAATGACATAATTATTTACATATTCTAATTTAACAAAAATTAGGAAAGGACCCGCTTCACCTAGTGGCGCATCCGACATATGATGCTATGCTTATATTGTTATAGATTATGATTTACACATATTACAAAATAATATAATTACTGAAATATGGAATAATTAATTAATTATTGACAAAATTTAAGGTTAAATAATTATTGGCATATCGCTTATTTACACAATAAGTTACATGTTGCAATCAAACATAACTACTGGCATATTGTATAGGAACAAAGTTAGTAACATAATGTCATATAACACACTTATTGACAGAAATGTCTGTCTGCCTGCCTGGCTGTCCGTTTGTGTGTCTGTGTATGTGTCTGTCTTCTGTCTAACTATCTATAAGGGCAGAATGTTAGACAGGCTTGTGAGCCCAACTCTTAACCCATTGAAAACATAAATTGTTACATGTTGCAATCACATACAATTATTGACATACTGTGAAAACAAAAACAAATTTATTGACACAATTTTTCCATTCATCCATCCGTTCGTCTTCCTGTCTGCCTATCTATCTGTCTAGTTGTCTAGTTACAGTACAGAATATACAATGTAATATTGTTTCGCAGCCATCATAACAATAATAATAGCAACAAGAACTATACTAATAATCATAAAAGACGTATTTGGCAATCCTCAATCCTTGTTGTTGAGTTTATAGTTTTGTTCATTTTTTGTGTGTGTGGGTATATTTTCCTTCCACCGATTTAGACACAGTTAATGTTTTCTAATGCATCCCATAATACTTCTTGTGGAAACAATGGTAAATTTTGGTGCGATCCGTTGCCTTTGAAGTTATAGTACATCCGCCTGAGAGACAAAGAATCAATAGTATAAATCAGCTGTTCTCAACCTATGGTTCGCGACGCTTTTATGGGTCAAACGTGCTTTTCACAGGGGTCGCCTTATACCACCAGAAAACACAAATCCACTGAAGTTATAAAGTAACAACAAAAACACGAGGAACTGTATTTAAGGTCGCGGTATTAGGAAGGTTGAGAACCACTGTCTGAACACGAATAAGCCATATATTTGAAACGGATGTGCAGGCATAACTCAGTTGTGACACAAGACCACAGTCCAGAAGTGGACAAACAACCATAACTTTCCGCCGGTGTGTACAGCTGGTGAGCGCGAAAAAAAAAAAAAAGAGGTACAATCAATTAGTTTTCTTCTATGCTAAATTACTATTACTTCTGCTTTTTGCTTTGTAAACTGAGATACATTTTTATCCCTTTGTGAAACAAACGTGATTGATTACCTCGTACTTGAGGTAAAACAATCTTCTTCTCAAAGCCGATGCTGTGAAATCGTGTCTATACACTGCCCTCGTTTTTGTATAATATCAATCATTTCTGATTCAGGCGCTTTTTTGTCAATACCCTGATTCCAAACTGTCCAGCATCTTTTCTTTTTGCTTCCTTGCGTCTCTTTTTCTCTCGGATATTTTCGTTGTCACGATGTACGAGTTTTCTTCTTCCAACCACAAGACCAAATAACGTTTTTTTTTTAAATGCAGAAAACCAGATCTCTTATGTGCTTTACATTGTTTCAAGAATTTGTAAACAACAGACACACTATACTATGTTACTCACGAAATCATTCGATGAATATTCATTGTCGAATATAAATGTACTGGCTGCACCACAAACGCATTTGACGTAGGTAAACCTGGCAATGTTAGAAAACTCCGTTATTATCTCTTTCAGTGTTTAGTTCTTTCTCCAAACTATGCACTAGTGACTTTTATTGTGCTATCTAATTCATCATCATCAATCAGCATGTCATTTACAGAACTCCGTTCTCCTCACAGCAAGCCTAAAAGCATCCTTCCCTAGCCAGCTCTCCGGCCTCATGTTCTTTCAATACCAAAGCATCTTCAATATCCTATATCCATCTTCGCGGTGGTCGACCCCTGCCTCGCTTTCCACAAACTGCATCCTCCATCATCGTCTTTCCCAAGCCACCATGACACTTGATGTGGCCAAAATACTTCAACTTTCGGGACAGGATGCTGTTTATGAGCCAGTTCTACTTGATGTTAATTAAACTCGTGTAGAATGTTGGTGTTTTCCCTCTTCTTGATCCATGGTATTCTGATAATTTTTCTGTAACATTTTTATTTCAAAAGCTTCAATATTTGTCTTCATGAATATCTAGTTAAATCATCTTAATGTGTACAGACGCAAGAGTAATATATTTGTAATAAAATAATGGGGACACAAACAATACACTTCCCAGTTTATTACCAGTCATATTTCTGTTCTTCGTCTTCTTCTTCTTCACTTCCTCTTTTAAGGCTGTGGGTGTCGAGGGAGATATAAGGTTCTGTTTCTAGCTCTTCTAGCCGCCTCGACCATAGGCACATCGTGCTGTTGTAGAGTTTCTCTGATGTTATCCTTCTATGTTGTTCTTGGTCTACATCGTGCTCTACGTCCTTCTTCTCTTTCCATGTATGCTTTGTATGGTATGGTGTCACAAGGCATTCTCTCTAAGTGGGCAAACCATTTCACTTGCTGTCTTCGTATGTAATCCAGAATTGGTTCTGTGCCGACTTTTTCTCTTATGATCTCATTTATGATCTTATCTCTTATGGTCACTCCTACAGCCCTTCTCAGACATCTAATTTCCGTGGTTTATTTCTGTTTATCTCGTCAAACACATTACTACAGAGTTACGGCAACTTATAATAAAGCCTACACTTTATTTAGTAACTATATTACTTGTTCACCATGATTCTAGTCCGCAACACAACTGTTTGTATCCATACCACAAGAACAACCAAGTAGCCGGAACACCAAGAAGTTTTCTAAAATTAAAAACCTGACTTCAGTTGGTAGCTCGTCGAGTCGCAGTCAAGACTGGCTAAAAATCTATTTGATTTTCATGAGACAGGATCAAGAAAAGACGAGTAAAGAAAAGATGGTTAAAAAAAAAGCCTTAGAGACCAATATTGATCCATGTTACGATTTAAACTATAATGTCAAGAAATAAAAGACAGACACATATTTTAAGTAACGTCTGTCTTGTCCGTCTTCATGTCTTGATATTTCCGCCTAAAGCCCAGCTCACCTAGTAAAGGTCGACGACATCATGTTAAACCTTATGTACCCATCTAATACATCACAGAATGCCTGGGCGTGCATTCCAATGTCCTGGATGCTGGCACCAGGAGACTGTTGTAGAGCCTAAAAATGTCAACAACAACAACAACAACAGATTAACCACCCTGATTTGTTTGATATAGAAAGATTCTCAGAATATATTAGACAAAGAAGAAAAGAAATACTGACATCTTGAAAGATCTGAACATCAAGAAAGATTGGCTAATAAACAGCATCCTACCTCAGAAGCTGACATATTTTGGTCCTATCAAGCGCCACGACGGATTGGAAAAAATAATAGCAGAAGGCATGGTACCAGGAATGAGGAGCAGGGGCCGACCAACACGAAGATGGGCACAGGATATAAGTGACTCCTTAAGTATGAAAGTACATGAGGCGGGAGAGCTAGCGAGAGACCAAGCTTTTTTCAGGCAGACCGTGATGAGAGCGACGTTCTGCAAAGGACATGCTACTTGATGATGACTTGTTTAATATTGTGTGCATTACAATAGTCAGTTATTTGTCACAATTAGAGACATCGTTAAAAAAGTAAGATATTCTTTAGACTCCTTGATCGATAGCCTTTTACATAGCCATCTACCCACATATTTAGATGCAATCGACATAATTTAAAAAGAGGGGAAACCCCTAAGGCCGTGAACACATAATATATAACAAACAAGCAGACAATGTATTGATTAGCATTTACAGAAAACAAGTAGAAATAGATGACACATCAAACAACAAAGTTATAGTGTCCGTGATGGGAAACGAACCTGACACCTTCAAATGACGAACGTCGCTTGCTGTGGAAACAAGTAAACTAAGTTACATGACCAAGTAGACACCCCTGAAAAAAGGTTTCTTCATTGGTCATCCCTATTGTACAATCTGCAACCCACAACTATGGAACATGAACAGAATTAGTCTCAAACCATTAAAATGGCATGATATTGTAAATAAATTTATAGTAACCAATCATATGACATTTTAAACAAATTTATAGTAACCAAGCATATGATATGTTAAATAACTTTATAGTAACCAAGCATAGGTCGAATAACAAACTCAGCAACAATTGTTGTAGTCTTATTTGGCCGAGAATTAATGTCAGCAGGAAGAGCACAGGTAAAGGCCACAAGGCGTCCACGAGTCGTTACCTAGGCGAAGGTAATTATACGACTTATTTGAATTCTGGGGATAGAAGTCAAAGGGACAGTCAGAGGAGATTTTGCTAGCGTCCAAGTCGGACGTGGATTTCCGCAGTTTAGCAGAAACATTGTGTTAGCTGTTTTCTCTTTATGAGGATAATTATAGAAACGTTTCTCTTTGTGAGGGTTTGTGCTTTGCCGCTGTTTGCGGGAAACAGTTGGATGTCTGTTTGGTTTATAATGGCAAAAGTCCATTGAGTGAAGTTTGTAATCGTTAAGATCGTCCGTACAGATAGTAGACTTATTATGGTACATATACTAATCTCATACTAAGCAGTATCAGTGCATAAACATAAATAGTATATGGACTAACATAAATAAGTGCTTTGTATACCCATAGTCTACACAGGGGTTATACAAGAGTAATGTAAAAACCGGACCGTAATGCCGTGTCTAGAAAACAAAAAACATTTAAGAAAGAGATTTGATTGGTCGTTCCATAGTGTTACGCGTAATTCACACAGAGTGGGAATCCTTAAGGCTGTAGTCAAACTACGTATAAATAGAGAATGTATTGATCTGTACTCACAGAAAAAAGTAGAAAGGTAGAAAGACACACCATAGAACATAAACATTAAAAGCTATTGTTGCCGTGCCGTGAATCGAACCTGTCACCTCCAGATGACAAATGCACCTCGCTTTCTGCCTATGTCCATGCTTTTTCTGCATTGTCTGCTTGTTTATTTTTTATAATGTGTTTAGGTGACATGTCCTTCATGAAAGATTTGATAATTAGTCTGTCTACTGACTGACTGTTTAGTCCTACTCACCCATCGTGACGTCATTCATCTATAGCTTACTATTAGGAAATTGCGCGAAGAAATTTTAAGGGCACGTAATGCAAATTTTGAAACTGAGTTCATTTGTACTTGGAATAATTTGGATTTTCAGCTTCAGCAGTGATGAAAACAAAATAGCGCTGCCAGCTTGATGCGGAGAATGATCTCCGTTGTCCCTTGTCCAACATTTCTTGGGATTATTCTTTATCTTTTAATCTCATCTTGTTATACTGTGGAAAAAAAAGGGGGAGTGGTCTGGGTGTCTTGCCATATACACAAAGGGGAGGTGGGGCACTAGAGGGGGTTGGAGATCACTGCTTCATCGGTTTAAAAATCAGCTGCTGTAGCACACTATACGTGGCCTGAATTATTTGCACACATACCCCAGCTGTGACACCTGATACCGTGAAATCGGTGCATGGTTTCCAAAAATATTCAGCTTTGCTGACGGGGTCCGAAGTTTGGTACCTGTTGAAAAACGACGACATTAGTAAACATCTGTGAGAACTTATATATATAGATTCAAAAGGTGTGCTTGGTTTATTGTAATGTAGAGCGATGCGAACGCTTCGTAACGCCGGGATGCCGGGTTCGATCCCAGCTGCATGCCATGCGCCTTGCGTTGGTTTCGACAGTGGTATCAAGAAAACCGACCGTCCAGAGGCAGTGACAAACTACTGGACGCAAATTTGCCTAGAAAAACCACACAACAGCCAGGGGCTGCTGGGGTTGGTTCTGCAACGTCCTGTAAAGGATACGCAACAACTTAGAGACTGGCTCAGAATTGTAAATCGACCTGCTTCTCAATTTTCTAAAATTTTCAGTTGGCCAGCATCCAACCAATCCTGCGGCTGTTTTAGACTTTCACCAACGTTATAAGGGAAGATTTTGTTTTTCATTTCTTGTGTCAGAACGTGTTGAAAGTTTGTCAGAATATCACGATTCAGATTTCTAAACACCGAGGACAACTAGCTCGTAAACAGCATCTTGTCTCGGAAACTTTGGCCAGGAGGCAGAATAGCGGGCGAGAGACCGAGATTATTTCTGACCAGTTCTGATGGAAGCGACGTTCTGTAAAGGACCTGCTACTTAATGATTATGATGAAGACAATATTGATCTTAGAACTAACGAATGAGTTGGACACAAGTACATATTACATATAGGATTTTGGTATGCATTTTCATGTGTAAGTTTTCATGTTAGAATTTTTGGTACAACCCACGTGTGTCACGTGATTTCTTAGCGGTTCCTACTGACTGTCCCGTGTTGTAGGGGGTCATGTGATTTTGGTTTGCACGTTTTAAACACATCCACTGACCACAGCCACAGCCAATGAGCATAAAAATACAAAAATATCAATGAATCAATACACTCGAATCGTCGCGCTTTGGGCGCAGCAGTACCTGTGCAATTGTTAATTATAGTCATAATAATATTTGAACTCTAAGGCCACATGCACAAACTCGTGTTGATCCGTACAGGAGTTTTAGAGATATCTGCTGAGGGATGAGACTTATCAAACGCACTGTAGACCAAAGGGATACCGTTAGACTGACTACGACAGTAACGACGGATAATGTTTAGCTTACGGGTCTGCTGCATTAGCTCCGTTCAGATTGATGACACCCAAGTTCGTGTTTGCAGTACAGTTATAATTGTATTCACATGAAGTGAATCCTTGTCCGACAACAAGACCAGCCTGCAGACTATAAGCAACGTTGACAACAATTATAAGCACAATCATGTCAGTGTCCAGTCATAACAATTATCCTGTAGGTTTTACAACTTGATTTTAGTTGTCTTGAACAGCCACGTAGGACAAATCAGTATTGCTTTCACAAGCGTTTGACAGTTTTAACGAATGAAATTCTTGGTTTCGTTTGCAGTAAAATGCTACTGAGACAAACGCTGTCTTTGTAACAAGGCTGGAATGTAAACTTTTAAATATCGACATTAGCCATATTCTAAGAAAATCAAATTTCCAATTTCTAATCTTGTTGTAGATGTGAAGAAATAAAGATCTAAAACACACGGGCTTCCTTCAAAGTAACAAAATATGCCTGCTCTTTCGTGTAAGAAGCAAAGCAATCAAAAGTGGGAAAACTGGTGATGAACCTTAGTGGCACATTGGTTGTGCACACTCCATAGGTGTGTAAAATATCACACATCTAGCGGCACATACATCCTTTAGTCTACATATAAGTTTTACATTTTACCAAGTTGATAGCTTCTGATAAAGAACAATTATGTTATAGTAATTGCTATCTATTGATAAACAGATTGCCTTGGAAATTAGGCTAATGCTAAGTAAAGGAAAAGTTGGACCTAGAAGAGCCGTTTCCACGCCTTCATTGTATTGTCGGCGTCTGTGGCTTAGGCGCAGCGAACGAGCTTCGTAATGCCGGATTCGATTCCAACTGCGGGCCTTGCACCTTGCGTTGGTTTCGACAGTGGTATCGAGAAGCCGACTGTCCAGATTGCAATAGCAAACTAAGGTTAGTTGCGTATCCTTTACAGAACGTTGCAGAACCAACCCCAACAGCCCTGGCTGTTGTGTGGGTTTTCTAGGCAAATTTACCTCCAGTAGTTTGCCATTGCTTCTGGACGGTCGGTTTTATTGTCAAAACCAACGCAAGGCGCATGGCCCGCAGCTGGGATCGAACCCGGCATCCCGGCATTACCAAGCGTTCGAATCGACTTAGCCACAGAGCCAACCACAGCAGCTAAAAAAAAAAATGCTGGGGTTAGTTCTGCAACGTCCTGTAAAGGATACCCAGCTAACATATGTATTGGGCATATAGGGCTAGATCTCTATTTTATAGACCAGTCGGAACACGACATGTGATCTGGTTAATATTACGCTTGACAACTTTACACTT